AAAATGCAGGGGGAGTATTGAACCAGCTAAGAGAATACGCCCATGGACCAGCCAGCAAGGAAACTGCAGGACCTCTAAGTCTGCACACAGTCAGGGAGAAGGACTCCTCTTACTGAGCACAAATTGCATCCTTTAGGAAAGAAGTCATTATGCGAAAAAGATACTTGCACACGCATGTTTATAGCAGCACAATTCGCAATTGCTAAAATGTGGAACCAGCCCAAATGCCCCTCAATCAATGAGTGGATAAAGAAACTGTGGTATATATATATATATATATATATATATATATATATATATATATATATATATATATATATACACACACACACACACTATGGAATACTACCCAGCCATAAAAAGGAATGAATTAATGGCATTTGCAGCAACCTGGATGGGATTGGAGACTATTACTGTAAGTGAAGTAACTCGGGAATAGAAAACCAAACATCCTATATTCTCAGTCATAAGTGGGAGCTAAGCTATGAGGATGCAAAGGCATAAGAATGACACAATGGACTTTGGAGACTCAGGGGGAAAGGGTGGGAAGGGGGTGAGGGATAAAAGACTACAAATTGAGTTCAGGGTATACTGCTTGGGCGATGAGTGCACCAAAATCTCACAAATCACCACTAAAGAACTTACTCATGTAACCAAATATTTCACCTGTTCCCTAAAAATGTATGGAAACAAAAAAAAAACTTAAAAAATAAATTGCATCGTTTAGGATTGTTGGGTCACAGAATTGTCACTTATCAAGACTGTTATAGGAACTAGCGAGGGCAAAGTGCTGGTGTCCTCAGGGGACCATAAGGCAAATATGGGCCAGCAAAGTGAGGCAGCTGCTAAAGAAATTTAGTTCACTCTTAGGCTTTATCAGTAGGAATACGGTGTATAGATTAAGGGAGACAATTGCCTCACTGCACCTTCCCAGGCCTCACTTCCCTGGAGTGTTGCATGTAGTCCTTACCACATTTTAGGAGCACCTCACCAACTTTTTTTTTTTTTAATGGAATCTCACTCTGTCGCCCAGGCTGGAATGCAGTGATGCGATCTCAGTTCACTGCAACCTCCATCTCCTGAGTTCAAGCAATTCTCCTGCCTCAGCCTCCCAAGTGGCTGGGACTACAGGTGCATGCCACCATGCCCGGCTAATTTTTATATTTTTATTAGAGACAGGGTTTCACCACGTTGGCCAGGCCGGTCTCAAACTCCTGACCTCAGGTGATCTGTCCGCCTCGGCCTCCCAAAGTGCTTGGATTACAAGTGTGAGCCACCATGCCCAGCTTCTCATCAACTTTTGAATGTACAAATGAGACATTCCCAGACCCACTGCAGGAACTGTTGCTGTCAGCAAGGAGGAGAGCAAATCCAGAGACCCTGAGCTTTGTTTGCAATCTCTGAAGGCTCCCAGGAGATGGAGCTCAGTTTCATGAAGGAAGAAGGATTTGAGTGCCAGAAATTGTAGAGTAAAGGAGCCTCACCCTAAGGGGAGTGACATTACTGCCATGAAAGGCGATAAAGCCAAGGCTCACAGCATTTGTGAAGAGATGGCAGTGAGGATGCTGAACCTGTGAAAGGGGTGCCTGGAGGGACAAGTCTTGCAGCTCAATGTGGTGCACCTGCCAGCAGCGTCCATCACCTAGGAGCTTGTTGGAAACAGAGAGCCTCAGCCCCCAGTCCTAAAAATCAGAATACACATTTTAACAAGATCCTTAGGTGAGAAGCACTAGGCTAGAGGCTGGGGGTGGAGTCAAGGCCTGTCAAAAGGGAAGTGACTCAGTCACCTGTTTGGAGGGCACCAGCTGAGCACCTACCTGTTGTCAGGCCCCAGAACCCCCTTTGGAGGAATTTTCACTCTGGTAGGGGCAGCAGACTCCTAAATAGGCAAGCAGCATAAAAGGAAGCTCCAAGTGCTGATAGGAGGCAGTGCAAGGTGGGGTGGTCAGTTCTGGGGGCGGGTGAGATGGGAGAACACCAGAAACGGCTCTAAAATAAGGCCCAGAACTGGCCAGTCGCGGTGGTTCAGGCCTGTGATCCCAGCACTTTGGGAGGCAGAGGCAGGTGGATCACCTGAGATCAGGAGTTCGAGACCAGCCTGGCCAACATGGTGAAACCCCATCTCTACTAAAAATACAAAAATTAGCTGGGCAGTAGTGGTGTGCACCTGTAATCCCAGCTACTCGGGAGGCTGAGGCATGAGAATAGCTTGAACCTGGGAGGTGGAGGTTGCAGTGAACCAAGATCATGCCACTGCCCTCCAGCCTGGGCAACAAGAGCAAAACTCCGTCTCAAAATAATAATAATAATAAGGCCCAGTGCTGTTCAAGGTCACACAGCAAGGACAAAACAAGCACAGAGCCCCAGGTGCCTGGCTTCCAGCTTGCCTGGTTGTGCTGTGTGTCTGTGTGTGTGTGTGTGCACGCACGCCTGGGTGTGGGTGTCTACATCTATGATTTGTGACATCATTGGTCATGCTCATGGTCATGTGTGAGCTGTGTAAATGTGTGAAGTGTGTGTGTGTTTGTGGGATGCATCCACATGGGAGTATGGGTGGCTGTGGGAGTGTTTCCACAGGCAAGGCTGCAGCTGCTGTGGCCAGCCTCCCCACTGTGCACAGCCCTTGACCATCAGCAAATGGGACCTTGAGCTTTGCAGTTCCCCCAGGCCCAGCCTCACTTGCCGTTGATGACTGACCCTGGAAAAGAAGGGTCCACTGGGCCTGTCAGGTGTCCCTGGGCTGACCCAGGGCACCTACAGCCTTGTTCCTGACTGAACTTTTCTGCCCATGTGGCCTCAGGCAGTTCACAAGACACCTCTGACCCCTGCCCCCCATTCCCAAGTGAAAGTGGGCAGAAGATGGGACAAGGACAGGAGCTGCAGTGGTTGTTCCCTCCACCCAGAGATACCCACTGCAGCCCCTCCGTGGGTGAGGGCTCTCTAGCAACACTGACCAGTCTCCAGGCTGCACTGCTGGTGCAGGACAGCCCCTCTCCTACCTCTTTGTCCTCTACCTCATGGTCCTGACCTAGCCTAGTCCCCATGTGCCTGGCCTTTGACTGAATTTATCCTAAATACCTCTCCCCCACCTACCTCCTACCAGCCACCCAGGCTTGGCAGTGGAACAAGAGTGCCCCGTGCCTTCCGGGTGAGCTTGGCCCTGGGCTGGGGATTCCAACCATCCTGTGGCCAAGGGAGGTGGGCTAGGAGGCAAGGGGACAGCCAATCTTTCTGTGCCCAGAACATGGACTCTGGATCACAGAAAGTCCACTCTACTTCTTACTCAGGCAAGTCACCCCACTCCCCGGATGTCAGTTTATTCATTGATAAAATGGATATGTAGTACCAACTTCCAGACATGCTGTGGGGTCAGATGAGATCATAAGAACAGTAACATGCCATGGACACTGTGTGGGTCAGCAGGGTCTTCTCTGATGCCAGCAGGGTGGAGGATGAGCGTGAGGTCAGGGTGGCTTGGGAGAGGAAGTGACAGGACTGCTCGTGGGTGAGATGGCCCTGGAAGTGCCCAGTGCTGCTGGGGAACTGGCCCTCATGGGACCACCAAGGCTCCAAATGGGAGCTGAGCAGGAGTTGAGAGATGGATGCCATGGGTCTGGGACCCCAGAACCTCAGCTTCCCTGGGGGATCATGGGTCTCCAAGGAGACACGGGGCAGAATTCTCTCCCCAGCCAGCTGCTTTGGTAGAGTGAAGGGGCGGCCACTGGTGATAAGGGCAAGAAGTGGGAGGGACATGTTCAGGGGCCAGAATCTGAACACCTCTAACAGCGGAGGCCCTACAGCCCCGCCCTTGCGAGTGCGAGATGGTCCCAGATGACAGCCCACAGGCCGGAGCAGCCAGACCACAGAAATGTTGCTCAGACCTCAGAGCTGGTGGCCAACAAGGTCTGCTTCCTAAGGGCCTCCCAGAGGACTGAGGGTGAGGATAGGACTGGGCAGCCTCAACAGCTCAGAAGCTGGCACCTGCAGCCCCCTCAGTGGGAGCAGGGAGCTCAGGGAGTCAGCTTGGGGGTTCACAAGCTGCACGATGACCTCTGAGCCACACTGGCCTCTTCTGGCGGTTGGGATCCTAACCCACCTTCCAGCGTTGCAGGGAGGATGAAATGGCATGATGAACAGCAAGTGCTTTGCAAAGTCCCCAGTGCTAGGTGCATAGTAAAGCCCTGGAGTGGCTCAGCATCCTCAGCAGTCCCTTGGTTCTTCTTTCCCAGCACACAAACAGCCCAGATTCAGAAGCCAGTTCTCCTACTGCTTAGCTGGCTGGCCTAGGGCAAATTACTTAACATCTGTAAAATGGGGAGAATAAGGGCTCTCCTTATGGGGCTGTCGTGAGGATTAAATTAGTTAATAAATGTTGAGTGCTTAATCAAAGCCTGGCACCAAATAAGAGCTCAATCAACAAGAGCGAGACTACTACCGCTGGCATTGTCATTCCCATCACACACCTCCTCCCCCACCATGCCAACACAAGAGTGCCCCATCCCCAGGCTTTGCATTCAACCCCTGCTTCCTCTGGCTGTTGCTCTTTATAAGCCCAGCCTCCCAAGCCACCTGAGGACAAGACCACAGCTCCTGCCTCGAGTCTCTCTCTAGACCCCTCGCCCACTCTCAGCATCCAGATGCCTGATCTACCTGGAGTTGGTGGTGGTGGCAGAAGAGCTCAGAGAGAGATGGCCTCTGGGGACTGATGGGCAGGTCCTGGCCCCCCACAGATGGGCTAGGGCATGCAGCGTGAACACAGGTTGGATACACGTAAGTGCACACACATGAACCACACCGCAGGCAGCCCTTCCAGCTCCCAGGCTCAAACCACCATGTTCTTAGAACACTGAGGGGGGCAAAGCCAAAGCCCCTCCCTCCTCAGCAGCCACCTCTTCTGCAAGTGGAGCTGCTGCTGCTCAACAATGTCTTGTTGCCACCTAGAGTCCTCCCCTGGCATCTCTAGGCCCTGCTGGCTGCCCAGCTCCAGCCCCCCGCCCCCACCGCTAGCTCCCACAGTTGGGGTGGAATAGGGGGAGGGGGCTAGGAGTAAGGGGAGAGACAGGGCGGGAGAGGAGGCACCTGGGCACTGCTGGGCAGAAGCAGGAGAGCCGGGTTCCAGCCCCGGCTGGGTGTTAGCTCTTTACATTGCCTCATGCAAGCTGCTACCCTCCTCAGCCTCAGTTTCCCCATCTGTAAAAGGACAAACATTCACACATAGGTCTGTGGTCTACAGACACATACAGACACTTTCTGGCTAGAGGTCTCTAGGGCAGGAGCTCATGTGGAGTGGCACAGTCTTCTGATGAGAAGATGGCTCCCCAGGCTAGGCCTTGGTGAAAACTACCGCTAATCCCACCTCCCTGGCCATAGCCGAGAAGCTGGAGCTGCCCTAGGTTCAAATCCCAGATCCACCACTTTCTCGCTGTGGGACTTTGAGCCAGGTGTTCAGTCCTTCCTCTATGCAACGGATACAGACAAACACTCAGCACAGTCCCCAGGCCACAATGGGTCCCCAGCAAATGCCAACTATGACCAGCTACTATGGCCTGCCCAAGAAGGCTGGAAATGGTTTCTTGTGGGACCAAATAATCCACAGGTGCTTCTCCCGTGTTTCATTTTACCTGAATGGAATCTGCCAAAAACTAAGTGAGGGGACTCCTATTTCGCTAAATTAGAAGAATTTGGGTCACATGGTAGAAACCCTGGCAACCAGCTCCAAAAGGGCCGGAGGGTGGGGAGGAAGCTGCCACATCCCTCAAACCTCCACCAAGAGGTCTCCTAGACCACAGGAGGTGAGGACACTCCCAGGCCGCCTCCCTCTGGCAGAAGCCAGTCTGCCACCTCCCCTGCCACCACCAAGGAAGGAAGGGGCACCCACTGGATAGGCACTTCACTCTGCTACCCCCCACATTTAGCCTGCATGGCTCACAAAGCTCCTCTACCACTCAAAGCAAGGCCAATAGGGGCTCTCCCCACCATGGATACTGGGCCCTACAGGGCTGCAGCTGCACTGCAGCCCCTCGGTCCCCACCACCACCCTCCAGGATCTACCATGGACTCCTTGATTGCTAATTTAGACTTTCCTGCCATCCCACGCAGGGGAATCAGGGGAAATCAAATTACCGAGTTATTCACTCTTTTTGTACAGCTGATGGGCTGATTAGCTGTCAATCAGGGTCTGCATTAACATCTGACACTGTGTGCATAACAATTACCAGTCACATTAAGGAAACCTTTCCCTTTCTCTCTAAAGGGAGGGGTGGGGAAGAGACAGGAGAGAGGAGGAGGCGGGAGGCACTGAAGGGAGGAGGAAATTCAATCAGCATAATTAGCTCAATCAGAGGAGAACATCACTTCACCAGCTGAGCAGAGCTACTGGCACTGCCAAAGGCCGCCGGCTGACCAGCTGCTCTGGAGCCTCTGCCCACTTTGCCCTCCAGCAAAGTGCCCAGCCTCTCCCTGCAGCCACAGCTCTAGCCAAGGCAAGCTGCCCTTCCAGTCAGTTAACCACTTGGATCCGCCTTTAGACTTCCCTTGCTCCAATCAGGCGGGCCCATTTCTGCCTGCTTCACTGGGATTGGCTCTGACTGAAGAGGAGGGATATAAGACTCCAAGGGTCGAGGCAGAGTTGGAAGTTGGAGGTGGGATGGAATAGAAGGGGTTGACGACTATTGATTGAAGTCTAAGTTTATGATTATTTTGTGAAAGGGACTCCCTTATACTGAGTCAGGCTGCGACATTTTGTGGATCATCCTGCTGTTCTTCCTACTCCTTCCCTACGGCTGGCATCCTCCATCCCTCAGCACCCCTTCTGAATTGTTTGACCTTCTCTGGGCTGACCTGCATGCGTCTTCACTTGACTCTTCCAAGATAGAGTTTCAAGCCCAATTCCCATCCTACCCTCCACCTCTGAACACTCTCAGTTTGTCACTGCCCTGAAAGCTAATAAGTGCTCCTTGTATGTTGTAGCCACCAGGGTGGAGGATGAGCCTGGGGTCAGAGTGGATTGTGACAGAGAGGAAGCGACAGGACCACATATGGGTGAGATAGCCCTGGAAATGCCCGGTGTTGCTAGGAACCACCAAGGCTGTAAGTGGGAGCTCAGCAGGAGTCTGTGGGTCCCGGCACTCTTGGGACCTCAATTTCCCCATCCGTAATATGTGTGTCTCTAACCACCCTCCAGACTGGCTCTTTTTGAGTCTCTCAGTCTAAGGAGTCCTTACTCTGGACGCTGCTGCTGCTCCCAGGAGAGGGATGGTGCTTCGAGCTATTTCCTTAGTCCAGACATGGGGAGGGCTTGCAGGGAGCAGTCACACTCTCCCATTCAGTCTCTTCAGGGCCTCCTGTGACCGAAGTAAAACAAACTGACAACATTCTTGGAAAAGGCCAAGCTTGTCCCTGGCCCACAGACTGATTGTCAACAGGTTGTGTTTGCTGAGGTGACCAGGCAGGGGTTCCCCTCGTCTGTTTGCTTTTTTCATGTGGAAGAATAGGTCTCAAGAAGGCTGGCTTTGGCCTCCTTAGCACTGCCCTGACCCACTGAGCAAGTCACAGACAGGTCTGGTGATAGACTAAGGCTGCACTGGTGACAACTGCCAGGCAGGAGCCTAGGGCTATAAGTTCAGGGAGGTGCAGGCAGAGGGAGGCCTGAGGTTGTGCTGTAGCTGCTTCTACAATGCAGACGTCCCATGAGGGTGAAGAAGATACTCAGCCCCATTCTCTGGGCCTCTGAATTTCTTGACCCAGTGTATTAGTCCACTGGCGATGCCATTACAAAAGACCACAGACAGTTTAAATACTAAAATAAAATCACAGAAACTTATCTTCTAGCTTTTGAGTTCTGGAAGCTAGAATTCCAAAAGCAAGGTGTTGGCAGGTTTTGCTTCTCCTGAGGCCTCCCTCTCTGACTTGCAGATGGGACCTTCTCTCCGTCCTCATGGCCTTTTCTCTGTGCACATGCACCCCTGGTGTCTCTCCATGTGTCCAAATTTCTATTTATAAGAAAGCCAGGCAGATTAAATTAGGGTCCATCCTAACATCTTCTTTTAACTTAATCACCTCCTTGAAGATTCTGTCTCCCAATCTGAGCTATTAGGAGTGAGGGTTTCAACATATGAACTTAAGGGGACACAATTCAGCCAAAAACCCTCAGAAAACTAATAACAATAGTTATCATTGTTGTTGGATAGCTAACATATATGGCATTTACTCTATTCTAGGCACAGGTCTAAGTGCTTACATACACTCACTAAACCCTCACAGACTTGAGCAGCTACTATGAGGCAATTATCATTATCATCCCAACTCCTTAGATGGGAAAAATGACATACAGGGAGCTTAAGCTACCTTCCCATCTAGTAAACAGGAGAGCCAAGATTCAAATTCAGGTATCGGACTCCAGAGTCCACCCACTCAGCAACTATTTCACATGCCTCGGCACAAGGTCCTTGGCGGCTCAATGATGGTGCTGACAGTCTTTCCAGGCCCCAGAGAACAATTGCCTCCTGGCCTCTGGCTCAGCAGCTTCCACATTAGGGATACTTCAGGCAACTTCAAGCCCAGCCCTTGTACTGAGCCCATCTTCAGCCCAGAGAACTCAGACACCGCCCCCCACCCGGCATTCGAGAGGGTCTCCATGTGGAGGGGTAGGGGGTGCATCTGGACCTTCAGCTGCCAACATTCACAGAGCCCTTGATTATGCACCAGACCTCGTGCTAAGTGCTCTGCAGGTATCATGTCATTTAACTCTCACATTAAATATGAGTCCAGGATTATGCCCATTCTCTCCCTTCCTCTACAAACAAGACCTTCCAGACTGACCTCAGCTAAGCACACCAGGTCACCCCTGAGCCATGATAACTCATTTTCTTTCCTTTTCTTTTTTTGAGACATGGTCTTGCCGAAGTGCAATGGCGCAATCATAGTTCACTGTGCCTCAAACTCCTAGGCTCAAGCAATTCTCCTGCCTCAGCCTCCCAAGTAGTGTCACCATGCCCAACTGAATTTATTTTTTATTTTTTGTAGAGACAGGGTCCTGCTATATTGCCCAGACTGGCCTCAACCTCCTGGCCTCAAGTGATCTTCCCACTTCGGCCTCCCACAGTGCTGGGATTATAGGCAGGAGTCACAGCACCTGGCAATAACTAGTTTTCTTAGGTATTCCTAAAGCCACTAATTTACTCTCCCATTCAAAAAATTATTTACTGGGTGCTTACTATATGCCAGGCACTGGTTCTGGATATCAGGTATGAATGGGGGAAAACAATAGAAAGGAGTCCTGCCCCCAAGAGGCTTATAATCTAGTGGGCTTAGACAGAAAATAAACAGGTATGGAAATAAAGAAATATGATGGTTACAGATAGTGACAAAGGAATCATGAAATGAAACCAGGCAATGGCTAGGTTGCAGACACTTCAGATGGGGCAGTCAGGGAAGCTTCCCTGAGGAGGTGATGTTTGAACTGAGATCTGAATAACAAGAAGGATCCAATAATGAGGGGGAAGGGCAGGCAAGACAGAGAGAACAATAAGTGCAAAGGTCCTGAGACACATTCAGGGGACAGAATGAAGACCGGCCTGGCTAGAGCAGACAGGACTGGAAGGCCAGTTAGGATATCATGTTAATGAGGTTCTGCACCTGAGTTGCCGCACATCACCATCAGGGAAGAGGTGACTGTCAGTTCCTTCCCATGTCTCATCCAAATCCTTCCAACTGCAAGTGAAACCTCATTGCCTTGCTCTATCTTCAGAGCAGACTAAAATCTGAGAACACTTACGGTGTTTCCTCTCCACCAAATCACCATCCCAGCCAGAAAAAAGCAGCTTCCCCTCTTGCCCCAACCATTTCCAGGTGACAGTTAAAGGAGTGGTGGGGGTTGGGCTGGGAGCCTCTATGAGTTTGAGAAAATCTATCTCCCTTCTGATGTTTTCAGCTGCCTCCCTTTATAGGCTGTCAAAGCATGACAGGGAACGTTTCTTGCCAAAGGTCCCCTTGTGTTGCTGCCTAAATACACTCATAAATTCTTGCCTGAACCCAGAAGCAAGGCCCTGTATTTGAAATAAGAAGGGCAGAAAGACCCATAGAGAACCTTCCACCCCTTTCCATTCTATTTTCTTCTCCTTTCCTTCCCAATTCCCAGCTGCAGAAAATGAAGGAAATGCTTTTCAGGAGTCAGGGTGCATAGATTATTGTGTCTACATCCCCAACTACCATGGAGGAGGAGACAGATGCATCAACAAACAAGTGCAATGCATGCTATAAAAAGTAAATGAACTGGAAGTTGGGGAACCATGGTTGGAAGTGAAGCTCAATTCATCATGTATTTACTCAATAGCTATTTACTGAACACATACTCTGTGCCAAGTACTTGAATCAGTACTGTCAGGCACTTTAATCAGTTAGGGTCTAGTTAAGAAAAGAGAAACCATTCTAGGTATTTCACACAGTGGAAATTTAATACAGGGAGCTGGTTATGCAGATGATGGAAGAGTTGAGAAGCCAAATTAGCACCACCAAAACATTGGCAATAGCCGAAAGCCACCAGCTCCTTTGGAAATGGAAGGACAGTGAAAAGAGATGGCTTTACTCTATCTCAGAGCTGGGGTTGTCCTGCAAGGAGCTAGACTACAGGGAAGCCTGCTCAGCAGAATCTGAAACCACAGAGGGTGCCATTGTCTGGCAAGAGATGTACTTGCTGCCAGAGATGCTACCCCAGGCAAAGAAAAAGATGAGAAATGCCCTGGCTTCCTTCTTCCTTCCATCCTCCAGTCTCCCATCAGTGCCTCTTATTGACTAACCTCAGCCAAAAGACAGATCACCAAGAGCCTGGAGAACACAGTCTGCAGGAGTCACTTTCACCTCCACAACACCCCCATGGCAGAGTGGAGAAGAGGAAAAGAAAGAGATGGGTTTGAAAGGCAAAGAGCCAAATGAGTGTCACAGCACTAAAGACTTAAAATGAGGGTACATTTGATGTGGGTTTTAAAGTTTGAATAGGAACTTTCCAATCAAGAAGGAGAAGAATGGTACAGGAAAGAGCAGGTTCAAAGACAGGGAAGTGCGGAGGATGTGGCTTATTCAACTAACAACAAAATATTCTGCCTGGCTGCCAGGAAGGTATATGAGCAGAGCCAACAAGAGATTGGGGAACATCCTGTAGGGCCTAAAAGGCTGAGCTCAGGGGGTTGGATATCATCCTGTAGGAAGTGTGGGACTCCACTGGGTCTCAGTCACAGACTGGGATTAGTAAAGAACAGGGACCACAGATTGGGAAGAGAGACAGTGAGAAGCATTTGCAATGGTCCTAGTGAGCATTGATTAAGTCTGAACTAGGGCTGCTTTCATGGAGACTGGGAGGAGAAAGGGCATATAAGAGAATTTTAGGATGTAGAAACAGCAGGACTTGGTAGTTGACTGGTAGGAGCGAGAGGGAGAAAAAGAGACAAAATATTATATTTGGGTGGGTGTTTATGAGAATGTAATTCTAACTTTTCTCCCTTCCTTCTCCTTCCTCTAGGACCACCTTTGGAGAGGCCTTCACTTATCTCTTAATGTGCAGCCTCTTATAATGCAGCCTTCCTTTCTTCCATTGTATTAGAATCCTCAGTTTGGGGCTAGACAAAAAGGCCTCCTGGAATAAAGGCTACACTTCCCTGCATCCCTTGCAGTTAGACACGGCAATGTGCCTAAGCTCTAGCCAATGATATGTAAATGAATGTGTCAGGGGATAGCTTACTTAAATGCAGCTGGCATGTGCCCTTTGGCCCCTTCTTTGTCACTCTTTCCCCACCTTGCTGCCTGGACAGTAACCATGATGAATGGAGCTTTGGCCACTATTTTAGACCAGGGAACAATAAGAGCCTGGAACAATAAGTCCCTAGGAACATGATAGAATAGATTCAGCACCCACTTTGCACTGCCTAAATCAGTTCTGTAGGTGAAAGAGAAATAAACATCTACTTATTTAAGCCACTGTTATTTTGAGTATGTTTGTCACAACCAAACTTAATCCTAAATGATACAATACTCTATTATTTCAGGAAATAATTTAAATATCTCATCTCATTTACTCCTCAACAATCCAATGATGTAGATAATATTGATATATCCAGTTTACAGATGAGGAGACTGAGGCTTGGTGAGGTTAAGTCCCTTGTTCAAGCTTACACAAAGCCAGTAGTGTAGGCAAGATCCAAACTCTGGAATTTTCGCTCCAAATATTCTGACTTCCTCAGAGGCACCTCTTTTCCCTTCCCAAATGTTTTTCATCTTCCCTCCTGCTTCTTTCAGCTTGACACATGTTTCTAGCAATAATAATGGCCTCAATAATAAGGATAATAATAAG